CTTTCCCTCCCTCTGTCCGCTCCACAGCCATGGCGGGAGCTTAGAGTAGTTCCTTCCCTTCTGGCTCCAGCCCCTCCAGGCGTGGGCGGGAGCCGCAGCCTGCGTGGGACCGTCCGTCCACCCTGAGGGACCCCTCCCCCCCTTCTGGCTGCTGCGCCAGGGCCCCAGCCCTGTCCCCACTGTTGGGACGCTGTCTGCCCTGGCCTGATTGCCCGAGGGGACGGGAGCATGTCCTCTGTCTGAACCCGCCTGGCCTCACCCACTCCCAGGCACCAAGGAAAGCCTTTGCCCCAAAGGCTCTTTTAATTGGGGGATGGGGGCTTCTTGTCCGTCCTTCCCTCCTCCCTGTAGGGTCCTGCCCCTCTGCAGGGGACAGCGTGTGACCAGGCACCGGATTCCTCCCTGTGGCTGATCTCAGGCCGGAGCACGGAGACCCAGAGCTGCCGGACCCCCTAGGAGGTCATCTAGTCCAGCCCCTGCCCTGGGTCTCGCTCGGCCCTGGCACTGGTGGTGTGTCTGGAGCAGGGAAGTTATTGGGGCAGTTGTTGCCCCCACTTGCTCCGTGCCATCCTTCCCTGCTGACATTACTTCATTGGCCAGCCCCAAACCACAGTGGGGAGAGCCCATGCCTGGCTGCTTACCCCAGAGGGCCTGGCCCGGCAGGTCTGGAGCTGCCCTTGCCCCCTTTCTGCATCCCTGACCTGTGCCGGCTCCCCCAGGAGGTCTAGCTTTCCTCCCTACCCCTTCCTGGGGGAAGGCTGCTGCAGGCAGGCCAAGTATTAGCCCCGCAGAGGAAGGTGGGTAGGGGGAGCAGTAGGGGCCGGAGCCCAGGGAAGTGTCAACCCCGCAGGGACGTGGGGCACCATATGCCAAACCCCCACTGGGCCAGGGATGGAGCCAGATCCCTCCAAGCTCCCAGCCTGAATCACTCAGCCCGTGTGCCTGCCCCTGCCCTCCCGCTACCACCCACCTCACCCACGTGTGCACGCCTGCGTCAGTGTTCACCCCGGGGCGGGGGGTGTGGGTCCTGACGGGCCAAAGGAGGGAGCGGGGGACAGCCTCTGGGCACTGTGAGACCCAGCTCTGTTCTCCAGGCCACAAATGTCCCGTCCGCGTGTTGCCCCTGCAGGGCCGGGGGCACCGGCCTAAGTGGAAGCAGCTGGGGAATGATGCCCGCTGGGCTTAGCTCCCCACTGCCCAGCTCTCCAAGCTTCCCCAGTGCCCCACAGCCTCTGTCTTCCTCCTGGGGCCTTTATCCCTCTGCCCCAGGCCCCCATGGGGGCCTCGGCTCCGGTGCCTCCGTACGGCTGTCCTGTCTGTGTCCACGTCCCTGGAGGCAAGTTCCCCCTGCCCCCCCAGTCTGTACCTGTGTGCCCCACCCCCCTGCCCCCACCCCAGGCTGG